CATGCGCGGGGCTTCCCTGTGCCACGGAGGGGGGGAGGCAGGGGCCCCGGGTCAGGCGTTGGCTGGTTTCTGGCTGGGGGGGCATCCTGGGAGGAGGCAGATGCAGGGGACTCTCTGCCTCCACTGGCACCCCACTCCCCGCTCCCCAGACCCCAGTCCCCAGCCACAGAACTCTGTCCCCATTCCTGTCCCCACTCCCCGAACTCTGTCTCCACTCTCCTGTCCCTAGCCACAGAACTCTGTCCCCATTCCCGTCCCCACTCCCCGAACTCTGTCCCCACTGGCACTCTGTCCCCTGCTGCAGAACCCTGTCCTCTGCCCTCCCAGCACCCTGTTCCCTCTTCCCTGCCCCCAGCCAAAGAACTCTGTCCCCACAAAATGTATAATTATAAATGCTTCATTTTAGATTTAAATAGCATGAATAAAAAACAGACCATTTATTTCATAACTATAAACACCTGATTTTAATTTTATATATCGCATAATTTAAAAATAAACTGTTTATCAGAGTGTGGGCTGGGGATAGCAAGTGATGGAGAGGAGGAGAATACAGAGGGCGGGGCTTCAAGGAAGGGGCGGGGCGATAGATCTTCGCCTGTTCTGAGATTTAAAAAGTGATCTTGGCTGTAAAAAGGTTGGAGACCACTGGTCTAGTGTTTCAAAGACAGCATTTTCAATTTCTTTTTAACTCCCAGGACCCCAGCTTTCAGGGTGATATGTATTTTTTGTGAAGTGCTGAGCGATTCTCATTAGATTCAGTGGGAGCAGTTCACACAAGTCTCATGTGGAATCTGGCAGAAACAGGGACAAGAGCCCCGGCCTGTTTTTTTCAAGTGCTTAGTATCCAGAGCAGGTGCCAAATTTTTCATAGTTCTTAGCACCCTGCACCTCCCATTGGGCCACTTGTGGCTAGATTTTTAAAGGAGCTCAGCTTCCACCGCACTGAATGTTTTTTGAAAATCTGATTGCTTATTTTGGTGTTTCGATGAGATCTGAACTTCTTTGAAAGTATGGCCCTAGATGTGCTATTCTGTCACAGGAAAAACTTAAAAAACAACTAGTCTAGTGGCACTTTAAAGACTAACAAAACATGTAGATGGTATCATGAGCTTTTAAGGGCACAGCCCACTTCTTCAGAAGACTGGAGTGTTGGAAGTTCAGATCCAAGAATACATAAGAAAAGGAGGGCAGGAAGGGGAGAAGAAAAAAAATTGAAGGGGAGGAAGAAAAAAAAGACAGTGGCTTCTCTATGTTTTTTTTTAAAACTTATTGATTATTCAAGAGTTCAAGAACATTGAATTAGTTACTTAAAGTGGGCTTTGTCTTTCAGCCAAAGACATAGATACTACCTCACCCCCCAATTTTGGTACCAACTAAAATAAAAACACATGATCTTTAAGTTGACATTATGCTAGCAATGTAACATGTCCTCATCAGCACTTTTATTCGGACACACAAAAAACCTAATGAAGAAATGGTGATTGTTGTTGTCAAGCAATGACGGGTAAAGGATGCTTTCAGAACAGTGATTTAAAGCTGTTGCCCTCCATGATATATCACAGAAAGCGTTCAAAGGGTCCTGGCTACGGCATATGTTAAATTGTAGATTTCTCTAGACTGATTTAATGCTCATTGAAGCCAGTTAAAATGTTCCTATTGATTTCAATGGGTTTTGGAGCAGACACTGTATGTGTGTTTGATAATTGATAGTATTTCTGTAAACAAATGAGACAGCTGTACTTGTTCACTGAAATATCAGTAAGACTATGCATTTCCTAATAGGCAGATATGTTACTTTAAAAAGTTATACTCTCCAGCTTTGGGAATTATTTAATGACTAATGTTATAACTTTCCAAGGGACAATTTCCAACTGTTTAAAACAATTTCTCTTGTTATTCATATCTACTATATATTTGAGAGAATTTGTACATCTGTGAGTCTGTCCAAGAACTCCTACTAAACAGTAAGAGCTAGGACCATCACATTTGGTATGCAACTTCCTTTAATCATAATTTAAAAGTGTTTGGTTGTGCCAGGACAATGGGATCCAACTGTTTCTCATCAAATGGAAAGGGAGAGCTGTGATAGCAGGGACAGTTATACTCAAGAATGACCATGGGAGGGCAGCAAGCAAGCATGCCTCTGCAGCTCCAATAGCCCTGGAAAGCCCCAAGGCAACATCTCTGGCCAGGCAGTGTGACCCCACCACCACCCTGGCCCAGCCCTGTAGAATGCCAATAGACATTCCCACCCACACCTCCTGCCCTGATTCCTGCAGCCTCCACCCTTGCCCCGAGCCTCCCACTCCTCCCACCCTGACTCCTGCACCTGCATATCCCCAAGCCCCTGCCCTGACTCCTTCACCCTTTTGTTCTATGGATCAGCACTAGTGGCAAACCCATCCGTATTTAGTTTGGAGTCCCAATGATATAGACCTTCCTCTTTCTGATACTGGTGGTGATTTTTCCAACCTTCCCTCATCTGTTGTTTCTGGCTGCAAGTCCTGTTGCCTTTT